TTGATGTTTTTCTCTGTGGTCATAGCTTATGTGGAATAATGAAATACATTGTAACAAGATTGTAATTATTTTTAGGTCGTGATGAGAAGTATTTTGCCAATCTGACTAAATTAATGACTAAATTTGGGTGCAAGCGGAAGTTGGAGGGTATGGAACTGGGTATGGTCTCTGCGAAGTTGCAAAAGAATGACCTGTAACTGGAATTGTTTATTGTCCAGTGTTTATTGTTAACTAAATGAAGTTTGTTTTTTCCTTTGTAATTTAATGAGTATTGAGTATCTTGTTTTACATCCACCTGTTTATAGGTTAATGTGACTGTGACCTGAATGTAGAGTTGTTGAAATTATTAAGTTGTGATTAATGTGGAATGGTTAATGATGATGTTGATGTATATGAAGATACTGTCAAGTATATATTTTAATGTATGTTTTAATAAAATGAGAAAAAGTTGACACATGGTGTATTGATTTTATTTCATCGAACCTGAAATATTTCTGAGAACAATTTAAAAATTCTGTAATTTGTACACATCTGACAAGTATGTAGGACACGAATATAACAGTTGTGAATTGCTAATCTATGGATTAGTTTAGTTATTGATGAAATCGTTTCTCATTTCAATGGTGGCTTCAGTTCTTGGTGATGGGATTAGTCTTTTTAGCCTGCTCTTTTGCTTAAAAGCTATATAAGCGGGCTTATGCCATCGCCTCTGTGTTCGTCTGTCTGTCTGTCTGTCTGTCTGTCTGTCTGTCTGTCTGTCCGTTTCCCAAGAAGGACGTGAGCTAGAGGTTTGTAATTTTCAGGGTATAATTGTTGTCACTTCTGGTCAACGAGACGGTTGGTGCAAATCCTGGCAACCACCCCTGACTGGGTCTGAGGGGGTAACAAAGAAATAGGGGTTGGTCCAAGAAGTGGAAAAAAAATATTTTTTTTATGGTCTCCTGGGGGTAACTCGTGAAAGTAGGGCCCTGTGGGCGAAAATTTCGTCCGTTTGGCTCTATCTCTCACCGTTTAGGCGCTAGAGGGGGTTTTTCTGACAAAAGTGACCCCGAAACAATATATTGAGTTTAGAAAATATTTTATGGTTTCCTAGGGGGTAACTTGTGTAAATAGAGTCCTGTGGGTTACAATTTCGTCCGTTTGGCTTTTTTTCTCACCGTTTAGGCGATAGAGGGAGTTTCTCTCACCAAAATGGCAAAAACAGAAATATTTTTATTTTTTCAGAAGTACACTTCTGTCTGAAAAGTATGCGGCCGGTTCAAAATTTTCTTCTAAGCAGAAGAGTGGGCTCAGTGTCATTCTGACTGCTGTTGTTGTCAGGGGGCACCCACGCTCGGCGTGTGCTGGCCAGCATGGCTGCTGCTGTTGCTGTCGGAGCGCACCTACTCTCAGTGCTATTCTGACTGCTGTTGCTGTTGTTGTATGGGCGCACCCACGCTCGGCGAGTGCTCCTCAATAGAAGGGAAAATCATTCGGAGACGGCCGGTTAGAAGAGAAAATTTATTCGGGGAAATTTATTCGAAAACAGGCAGCTAACAGCCACTCATCGGAACGTCCAACGCAATATTTATAGTTAAATAGAAGGGAAAATTCATTGGAGGACGGACAGACACAATCTTCCTACATTCTGTTGGTACCACTGTTAACCCGCGCCTGCGCCCCTCTGAACTGCCCATTGTTGTTGGCAACCGAGCCCGCCGTCCGCCCGAGTGCCTCACCGGTACGTAGCCTCGCACGTGACAGCAATCGGCCCCCTTTCTGGGTAGGACCACGCCAAGCAGAGGGCATTTTTGGAGAAGTGTAAAAAATGTGATCTAAGCAACGGTAGAGAAAGAAAGCCTGATATTATGAATCAGGCGTAGTCTTTGATGCAGGAGCAATGATTTAAAAACCCTCGCCAGAGCGATCAACGTCAGGACCAGCCGTCAACAATTACCATTCCTCCTGCACATGCAGGTTTTATAAGTCGTTTCATCTTCCATGCAGTCATATATTTCTAGGACGATTGAGGGCTGGTAGGTGCACCTAAATTTCCCACTTGCGCTTTGAACTGATTCTTTTACAGTGCATACTCAGCCTTTTATCGGTTTAGGAGATGAAATATTTGGTCTGGATACGATTCCTCAAAGATGGCAGAAAGAAAATCTATCTAGCACAAATGAAGAAAACGCCAATTCTGTTGTCCTCTACATTGAAAATCCTCTGAAGAGTAAGAGGAAGGTCCTATCTGAAAATCAACGCTTTGGTATTGTTACGCAAAGCACTACTCGCCTTCTTCAGATGGTAAAGGGTTGTGGTGGCAAACAATTTGCCCTCAGACAGGCTGCATTAGAGAAGATTGAAGAAATCTGGGCTAGAGGGAAGGAAATCAGAGTTCTAGAAGAGGGTACTGATAATTCCTTCATGGTAATTGATTTGATAAATGTTGTGCATTTTTAGTGTGAGTGTTATTGTTTCTATAATATCTTATACTTGACAGATAACGTAACAATTGTTGATGGAAATGAAAATGTTAATCATGAGGCCGGCCATAATTGCAATTCTTCAGAAAGCAATCAAGTTCAACATGAAAATTTGAACTGTCCTACAACTGAGCCCACAACTGAGAGTCCAAATCGGAATGTAAATTCAT